TGCATTCCCCCAAGTTTATTAAAAATTTTTATTTTTATCTTTTTTCATAAAATAGCTCTTTAGAGGACGACAAATGAGCTTAATGATAGAAATCCTAATTTAATAAGATTCATCAATATTTTCGCTAAATATCTGGAAAATAAGAATCCGCTCATTCCCGGCGGCGATAGGAGTCTCCACCAGGTCGCCTGCCGACCCTAAGGGTCGGCAGGCGACATGGTGAGGACGCCTATCGGCCGGCCGGGAATTAGAGATTCTTATATTCCAGATATTAGCGAAACTACTGAAGAATCTTATTAAATTTATGATATTCTTAATCAGTAAGCTCAAATGCAGTCCGCCAAAGAGTTATTTATTGAAAAAAAGATGAAAATAAATTTATAATATAACTTGGGGGAATGCGCAGCTAGTAACGGGTAAGGTTGGTTAGCCAGGAGTCCGTATTTTATTTATTATAAATTTTTCAGAGCAAAAATGCAAAATCCGACTCTTTGGCGGACTACTTTATTATATCAAGAATATATTAAAAAAAAAAAACCAAAGTTATGTCACTTATTTTATGAAATATCTGGACGATAAGATTCTCACTAGATTCATAAGGAGCAGGGGAAATTTCCGTGGTAACATACTGACAGCTAACAGCTTGACAAGAGAGACTATCATTCTGTCCTTGTCTCTCTTACATCGCATATGTAGTAACATCCATGTAGACACAAACACTAATGCGTTGAACGAATGCGATTATTGGGAGATATCAGCAAGAACCGGTTTTCGTATTATCATTGTTTCTCTGTATATGTATATTATATGTAAAAGAACAATAAGAATAGCAATAATTCTTGCCTAACATTATCTTCCAATTATCGTTTCGTGTACGCAATATATATTTCACATTATGCATCTGTAACAAATAATCGAATGATTTATTTAAATATTTGCATATAATCTATATAAATCTATATAATAAATAAATGTGTAATAAATTATCGAATGATTTATTTAAATATTTGCATATAATCTATGTAAATAAAATATGTACAAATAAAATAATATTTATGCAAATATTATTTTATTTGTGTACATATTTTATTTATATACCCAAACAACACCAAGTCCAAAATTGGCGCGTAAGATATCTTTATAAGATGTCTTTTTGATATCATATCATAAGATAGCTGTCTTAAAGATTTCTTAATGCTATCTTATGCGTCAATTTTAGACTTGGTGCTGTCTGGGTAGATAATATGCAAATTAATATGTTTATATATATGCATACACATAGATATGACAATAGCGTTATCGTGATTTTTTTCGATTATTAAAGTTATATTGTATAATCTCTCTCTTATCTCTTTCTCTCTGCTACATAAATACTATTATAACGTAAAAGAACTTACGAGTAACGTATGATGGCTCAATGCAATAATATTCAATCACGTAAAAAACTTGAGTTCAAATATATCAATATCAATTTTTTTACAATATATTAGAATATAGAAAAAATTATAGAAATAAGGCGATAAACTTGAAAATTTTTAAATATTGAAAATATTTTAATCATTTTTACAATTACATACACTATATATATATATATATATATATATATATATATAAATGCAAAATAAGTCCGTAAATAAATTTATCAAGTAATAAATCCGTTGCATGCTTGCAGCTACATATGCACACACAAATAGCTGGTATGTTGATTTTTATTAAAAATTTATTTTCTGTATTATTTTGCATTTATATAGTGTGTATGTGGGTGTGTGTGTGTGTGTGTGTGTGTGTGCGCGCGCGCGCGCGCGTGTAGTAAAAATATTTTCAATATATTTATAAAATTTTTATTGCCGAAATATATTTTTT